TGTATATAAATAAATGAATAGCTAAGATTAGCAGATCAGAAATAAAATATACGAATATATTCCAACAGATATAACAGAAGGTTGCTTGTTACAGAACACTCACAGTCCAAGTGCTTCTTTTTAGGGCCAATAACTTCTTCTGTAGTAGCTTTGCAGACGGATTTAGCCAATCCCTGTCCAGCGATACTATAACGTGCAGCTGTCAATCGATCATTAATTGACTGTCCTGCCATTCTTGCTCAAAAATCTATTAAAGGACACTGCAGGCCATAAATGAAACGCAAAAAACAGTGGAGCTACACACAACTCCTGCACACAAACCTCTAGTATACTGGTCGAAACTATCAATGATGATTCAGTGCTGCCATATTTGAGTGGCAAAATCCCTAACTTCAGGAAGGGGAGGTGCTTCTTGTTTAGCAAACTTGGTTTTTCAGGTCAAATAAGTTAAAGTAAATTACATAAACACATTTTTTGCCTAAATTTGCCAAATTATGATTCTATGACCTTCATCACCGTATATATAATTAGTACAACGTTTTGGTCAGACTATTTCCATGCAAATTATATAATACCGAGCTGAGGAATCAACTATTTATGATTTTAATGTGGATATTATTGAATGTTTATTGTTATTAAGTAATATTATCGGATATTGTGTGATTGATTATAATCAGTTCTCAGCGTAAACTTTTACCACTCGGACATTTTCGGGGCGAATTTTCGTAGCACGTTTTCCAGACATAGCTTTGTCAACTCAAAACCAATCTTGACTTAATTAAAAAGAAGATATTTATTCAAAATGCGCTCCTGCGTGCGTCATTCGAACGTTTTTGTCGCTCCAATTTTAATTCGCGGGAAGTGCTAAGTCTTAGTACGTTTTCAACGCACAATTTCGTCAAAACGACACTGATCATGACCTAATTAACAGTGAAGCTATTTATATTAACATTACGCTCCTGTAAGCATCGAGAAAATTCTGTGCTCTGTTTTTAATTTGGACGCTGTACAATAAGTTTTGGAGAATAAACCGTGAAAGGTTTGCTGCTATACTACTATACTAAGTTGATGGGCGCCGGCTGTGGCCGCTTGCTGACGTTTGTTGCTGTGCTCCGTTTACTCTCTAATAAGCTCTATACAACTTGCGCCAGTATAAAAATTTTATACCCTCGTGTTAAAAAATACATCGCAAATCTTTAATAAAAGCAAGTTCATTCGACTAAGAGGACTAGGCTTTGAGGATCTTCCGACGTTGAACGCTGTGCCTATAAATCTTAATCTGACTTTGACGACCGTCACAGTTCCGAACCGATCGGCCTTCTTGGTTAGTTTGGCAATCTTTGATTGCTATGCCCTCGTATATGAAAAGATGCCGCGAATCTTCATATGCAAGTTTTTCTGACTAAGAGGATTACGGTTTGACGACCTTATGACGTTGAATGTTGGGCCTTTAAATCTGAATGTGGACGACTGTTACTGTTCCGACACCGATCGGCCATCTTGGTTTCCGATGGCCGAACAAACTTTGTTCGGCCATCTTGGCTTGATCGGCCATCTTGGTTTCAATCTGAACGTAGCTGGAGTGCGCTTACGGAGTCGCCTGCCGAAAAGACGGGAGCGCAGCCGTGCACTACCAATTTTGTGCACCAATAAGCCCTGAATCGAACGCCTTGGATCTCTCCGGACCTACACCAATCAGCCGTGCACCACTCGGCTTTGTCCTCTTCCGGCCTTGACCACCACCTGCCGTGCACCACCAGGCCGCGGATCGAATATGTTCGGGAAATTTCCGATCCGGACTTCTGGAAAGACTACGGCGAAGAAGCAGAACGTGCTCAGTCCATATAAGGCTGAGTCGCTGCTCTCGTAGAAGCTTAATTCTGTAAACTCTAACTGCGCGGTCGTGTTCTGTTCCACTACGTACTTAATGTTACCTTAGTTTCCTAAATTCTCTAAATGAATGGTGTTAATTTGTTGTGCACAACCTTTGATTTGTTTAAATTTCAGTTTTGGGGTGCATGCGTTTTTTCACTTCTTTTGACACTTTGGCCAGCTCGTCAAATTGCCTATTTGACTTGAAACCTTAAAACTTTAAACTTACACTATTAACCTCTAAACTTTAAACCTTAAAATTAATACCTTGACTGGCCAAGGTGGTCTTTCTCTATACTAAGGTGACCTATATTTATGCTCGGAACTGCCGCGCGTTAAATTAAATTGAATTATTAATTACTACAATTGATTTCTACGTCTGTAAGCACTACGCAGTATGTGCACTTAATCTTAATTGATTAAGGTGAGCCATAAGCTTTTATTAGCGTAAACTTAACTGCTTCTCAGTAACTTCTGAAATATCTGAATTATTGCCATTTATTAGCTTATTGACTCTATTTGTAATGATGCATTTGTTTTACCAGTATCTCGAGTAATCGTCAACATCTGCTGCCTTTCTGCCAAATTAAATTAAACCTGGACGCAGCTTTCTATAAAAGGATTTAAACTACTTTGAATATGAAGAAACTGCCCCGAATAAGAAGCTTTGAATAAATTCTTATTAAAATGCCTTAATTGATGATCACTTATTTCTATCCTGCTTAGCGCTTAATTTTTGAAATCAGTTCTAGAAGAGGATTACCTCCAGCGTAGGGAAAAAACCCTACAAATATGACTTCCAGGCATCGTTAAATTACGTAATTTTACGTTCACCGCATCTGAGGTTAGGTTTCAGATAGCATAGTTCTGTTCCAAAATTTATCGTCCTTCGACAAGTGGCCGTTCGACCGAGGGCTGGTTCGACCCACGGCCTAGAGGAAGGTCTGCAGCGCGTGTCGGATCTGCCTTCCACAATACGGTTGCGCTCGTCATCAACAGCGGATCTTGTCGTTCCATCTACACTTCCATATACCGTCGGCGACAGCATTCCCTGTCGTCACCGCCAGAACCTGGAACAGTTTGCCGGCTTCCGTAACATCGACTCCTTCGTTGCAGGTGTTTCGTCGACGCTTAAAGACGGAACTATTTCGTAGAACCATGAATCAAATATAGGTAATTTTATCAGTTCTCATCCTTTCTCGTGTGCATTTATTCTTTGCTTGCTATTAAACTTGTGTGTAAAGGGCCCTCTAAGTTCGTTTGAATCAGACGCCACGATAACTGCTTCGTAAAATAATAATAGTAACAGCCGTTTCTGCGTTGATTAGGCCGTTAAACCTGTCGATGATTCTTAAAATTCACAGCTTGTTGCGGTATCGAACAAGCAACTCACTGCTGCAATCTTGTTTTCTTTTACTAAGCTGGGATCAAACCCTCAACTTCGCTGCTCAAATCTTGGTACTCTGTGTAACCTCTGAGCAACCATCGTGGTCTATACTCTTTGTTGGAGTCATTTGTTCAACCATGACTAATGCCGATTACAGAAAGCTTGTCTTGTAAAACACAGCGCATGTTACACAACATTGCGTGCTGTACATTACAGCGCATGTTGCACAACATTGCGTGCTGTACATTACAGCGCATATTGCACAACATTGCGTGCTGTACATTACAGCGCATGCAGCACATCCCTTCGATGGCAGCTCGAGTTACAGAAGAGCGGCATTGGTAACGGATCGAGTGACTCGGCGCTGAAAGGCGCGTGAAAGGATCAGCGTTATCGCGAATATTGCCCAGTAACAATACTTCCACAGTGTTGGTATCGCTCAGTAACAATACTGCTACGGTGTTGCTATCGCTCAGTAACAATACTGCCTCGGTGTTGCTATCGCTCAGTAACAATACTGCCTCGGTGTTGCTGTTACTGCCCGACATTGATATTACCAACAGTACTGCTAGTGTATCTTTACTATTGATAGAATATTTTTTCACCCCAAGAAACTAACAGATTTTTTTATTTAGTGCCGTCAAGTTATGATTTCTCTTCAGCGTGTACATGATATACTTTCACTATAGTTATAAAGTATCTTCCAAGTATATCTAAAGTAGGACTACTTTCACTACAGTTATAAAGCATCTTCCATCGAAAGTCACCTAATCATTCAATAAATTTGACAGCCTTCATCGTGAAAATTTTCTAGCAACCACAAGATGCGGGAGCTCCCAAATGACTTTAACCAGCGCTGCAGCTGGTAAGAAAAAAGCAGCGTTGGCTCCGCAGAAACACGATGCGTCTACACACTGAGCTGTTGTTGCAACAAAGGACTGGAGAACAACAAGAACTAAGACCCTCTTATTTTACGGGAGCTTTTGGTACTACAAATGAAGGCTAACAACAAGAACTAAGACCCTCTTATTTTACGGGAGCTTTTGGTACTACAAATGAAGGCGAACAACAAGAACTAAGACACTCTTATTTTACAGGGATAAGTGGGCCGCCCGCACGAGCGAGGCTGCGGTGTGAAGCGTAAACTATTCTAAGCTTAACCCCACTAGAGACACCCGTGGGGAGATACCACGAACATTACGGTGCTCTGCTTCATGACGGCGAAATTATCTAAGATTTAAGAGGATGAAGGACACCTATTATAACTTAATGAAAAAGGATATTGCTAACAGAGTCCTTATGAAGCAAGTATTCGACGCTAACTATCGACATTAATTGATCGAAGAAACTATACGATTCCAGTTTCTTCCTCCCTGTTAACGGGCTTTCCTTCTATTGGGGTTTCTGAATCGAATCCTGTTTTGCTCTCTCTAGACAGGCCTAACAACGCCATCCCTCTCGAAATACTCATGGGCAGTAAAATGTCCCGTCTCTCTCCTCTATTTTCTAAGCCTCAACGCAAGAAGTCTTAGCGAGGTGAAGATATTACTTTACGATCCTCATTCGCATTTTGTATATTCTTTTGTGATAATAACGGTCTTATTTTAATAAAATTTTAATGAAAATGAAATTAGACCTATATGTTCGAGGGCTGATACCATCATTGTTTCATTCAATCTATGTACGAACAACAACTAATTGACACGAACAACTATAAGCAGTTGGTGAAAGAAAGTCGCAATTAGAAGAAATTTTACACGAAAAGAAGCTTGGAGAGATGATTCTACGGCTCCATTAACTCGGCCGGACGTCTTCTGTCGAGGAACTGCAAAAGAAAGAATCAAACCCTGAGTTATGTAGCGCTCAACCACAGAGCAGCAGAGTACAAACTAGATTGAAACATGTGTTTTTTTCAATGGGCTTGCTATAAATATGTAATTTTATACGCTGCCGTTATGGGTTCAACAAAGAAATTTCAGATGAACAAATTAGAAGTACTTTGAAAAGTTGAGTACAATCCGCACGATTACAGTTCGATTAGCGACATTACGGGATTGCAAGAGAAAATTGACATTAGCAATTAGCCTTCATATTAACAATTAATTTCCGATACAGATGCAGATAGAAAAAAAAACGAAGCAAGAAGAAGAGACACGTTTCCGCATAGTAAAAATCATATACAAACAAATGGAATTAATTATTATCATTAACCTGGATGAGCAGGAGGTCTTGGTGCGCTTGTTGGGGGCTAAGGACGACGACCACTGGGGCCTTTTCTTGCCACCGCCTCCCAAACTCTCCGTCTCCACCTGCAACGGTAAATATTTAATAACTTGCGTGGTTAATACAAGCCTCATCATAAACGAAACATAAAATAGCAGCAATGGAACACACAATGGAAGTGGCAGAAAGCGTTTACAATATCATGAACGTCTCATTACTCGGACACCCATGGGACACCGAGAGCTTCTTATATTGGTACGAATCTATTCCTATGAAGTTTCTGTCGTCAGTGAAAGCTAGTTGTCTGTCGGCACGCTGTGCATCTTTGTTATTAAATAATGGTAAGATTATGATACCCGTGTGCGCTCAACAGACCTTCTTCGTGACGCCAGTGAGAGTCTTGGTGGTCTTCTTGGGCTGGGTGACCTGCAGCTCTTGGGGCAAATATGAAGCGACGTTCACGAAGTTAGGATCTTCGTGCTTCTTGAAGTACATGGGCGGGATCCGGGGCTCGGAGGGGAACTCCTTCATTTCAAAGCTCACAGTTTTGGACAGGATCAGTCCCATGGCCAAGTCACAAACCGCCCACATTTTCTGGTTAGTGACCTCATCCTCCGGTTTGAGGGCGTCCTTGTGATTCTTCATCTGTTCGATCAGGGCTTTGTAGAATCCGAAGCAGTAGGCGTCATTTTTGGTGATTAGAGGCTCGAGGATGAACCAAAGGCACTGCCTGACGAGGGTGAGTTGTGCCACGTCTTCCACGCTGGTGAAGGAGGGCATGTGCGTTAGCACGGGCACCGCGAACACCAGCATGTAGTCCGGCATGATGTGTGGCAGCTGGCTGAACGCACGTTCTGTGAACACACGTAATCTTATTAAAATTTGACGCATGTACCAGCATATAGTCCACTCAAATATTACTTAGTCTCAGTCAGACACACCGCCACCAGACATGATGGTCTCACCTCCACCAGACATGATGGTCTCGCCTCCACCAGACATGATGGTCTCACCTCCACCAGACATGATGGTCTCACCACTCACCTCCACCAGACATGATGGACTCACCTCCACCAGACACGGTGATGGTCTCACCTCCACCAGACACGGTGATGGTCTCACCTCCACCAGACATGATGGTCTCACCTCCACCACACATGACGGTCTCACCTCCACCAGACATGGTGATGGTCTTGATGTACTCGCGTCTTTTGTTGATGTCCGCAACCATGTAATGCCTGATGGCGCTTTTGAGATCTTTGTCTTTCTCCTGGCCAGCTAGTGCGTAGAAGCCCATGAAGTCCAGGGGGAGGCACTTGAGTGGAATGCCTCGCGCCAAGCCCTTGTGCAGCTTGCCTGCGAAGCGCTGTCGCACCTCCTGGCAGCTGTCCTGTGACATGAGGTTACATGGGTCATGTGAGGGTCATAATAATAGGTTGATGATGCGTTATTGCCGGGATTCAACAAAAAGGTAGATCAATCCAAAGTCTACAAGCTGAGGAGCAGTGAATCATTTATCAGTGGTCGACGATTCATTGGTGACCTGTTCAAGAGTGAAGTGGTCGGCTGGGTGTAGCAATACTCACATTGATGAGTCTCGACAGATTGATGAACTGTTCAGCAGTGAACTGGTCGCCTACGCCTTTCTGTTCACAGATCTTCAGCATGGACGCGCCTGCAGCGAGGCGCAAGTGGGCCATCTCGTAGTGCCTGCACGGCATTGTACACTTTTCAATAGTAAACAACAGTATGAAGGGTACACACTTATCCAGGGCATGATACGCACACTTACTCAGGGTACGCTGCGCACACTTATCCAATTCACACTACAGTATCCTGGGCACGCTACACACACTTATCCACATCACACCGCAGTTTCCAGGGCATACTGAGTACATATATCTCGGACACACAGCACGGTGTTTGCACTACGTACGGCACGGTGAAGAAGCTCTCTTTCCGCGGCAGGGCTAAGGCGGCTTAGCGTACTACTAAACGATCTAAGAGAGGGCGAGTTCACCCTGGAGAACTCCAAGAGACAACCTATAGACAACGTGTTCCTATGCACAATCCCTGATCGTCCGCCCCTGCACCACTACCAGCAAGCAACAGCATCGTGCATCAGGTGGCCCAAATGAGGGCAGATGCGCGAAAATCAGAGGCGGCGCTCGATCGTGGCCTGGGACTGCTACGTCCTTAACATAAACTAAGGATAGTAAAAGTGAGTGCACTACTTACGGCACGGTGCCTGCACTACGTACGGCACGGTGCCTGCACTACGTACGGCACGGTGCCTGCACCACGTACGGCACGGTGCCTGCACAACGTATGATTTTATGCCTGCACTACGTACGGCATGGTGCCCGCCTGCAGCAGGTCGCCGCGGTGCAGGATGAAGGCATTAAGCATGCGGAAGGTTTTCTGCGCCGATATGATGTCGTCTTTGAGCCCCAGCAGCCAACGGGCCATCATCTTGAGGCCTTCAATCTTGACGAGGCTTTCCTCGCATAGCAGCTCCTCTTCCGCCCACTCGTCCTCCGCGCCTCCTGCGCTGTGCGACGGCGTCTGTTGGTTCCTCATCAGGAGCTCCTTCACGATCTGTGGACCACGACGTCGTCAGTTATAGCTCACGACCCCTCACACACAGCAGAGATCCTCGGCCGCTACACCTCACGACCCCTCACACACAGCAGAGACCCTCGGCCGCTGCACCTCACGACCCCTCACACACAGCAGAGACCCTCGTCCCCCTCACCTCACGACCCCTCACACACAGCAGACACCCTCGGCCGCTGCACCTCACGACCCCTCACACACAGCAGAGACCCTCGGCCGCTGCACCTCACGACCCCTCACACACAGCAGAGACCCTCGGCCGCTGCACCTCACGACCCCTCACACACAGCAGAGACCCTCGTCCACTGCACCTCACGACCCCTCAAACACAGCAGAGACCCTCGTCCGCTGCACCTCACGACCCCTCACAAACAGCAGATATGCTGGCCGCTGCACATCCAACACGTCAGTAACGTCATGAAGTTAAGGTGACGTACGTACCTTCCTGGAGACGATGTTCTTGACGTGCACCAAGAATTTGTCAGGAATGTTGAAGACGATGTGGCCAAGCGCCACCACACAGGTCCTGAAGTGCGGCGACTCCAGGGTCAGGTGCTCTCGGATGTTCTGTGTGTCGGACTTTCATTAATACAACGTAACCCAGGACTTAACAAATTAATTGCGACTTTATTTAAAGCTCAATTTTTCATAAATTCATGTGCGCTATGTAATAACTATCCACTTATATGGCTTAGCTTGTGCTTGTTATTTAAATTCACTATCAGCTCTCCCTGTATCCTTAGTATCTTTAATATGTGTTTTAGACGTAGCAGTCCCAGACCACGATGGATCGCAGCCTCTTGTTTACCACGTTTCACGGGAAAACGTGTTTTTGTTTCACGTGAAATGCACGTGTTTTTTCACGTGCGTTTCACGATCGATAATGAAGCATCATACAAGACATTCAAATCGATTAATTGGAGTCTGCAAAGCAAAAGCTATTGATACAAGGACTTATATTGTAATTTACTCGGCAGAACATTTGCGTGAGCTGACGTACGCACCTCAATGATGCGGGAGAATATCTGCGTGAGCTGAGCGTCCTGCTGCGCGAAGTTGACGTAGAGGCAGCGCACGGCGTGCTTCGCCTGCTTCACTGTGCCAGTGACGGCAAACTGCTGGCACTGTGGCACCAGCTCTGACGCCAGTGCCGGGAATTCTTCTCCTATTATAAAACATGAAATTATTGAAACAATAAAGATTTGAATAAACAAACATGAATAATATGTTGGAGTATTTCACAAGCAAGAATGGCTTGCACAACGTTCATGAATTACAGACAAACTCATATTACATAAAGTTTCTCAACCAGCGTCACAATATTGAGGTCAAAACCAGCACACAGCCAACGTAGTTCAGTGTTTCTTTGTTATTCTGAACATTTATATAAAGACACCAAACAAATAGGATGAATAACAAATCACATTTTAAGTCATAACACTAAGAAATTATCTAGAAATTAATGGTTGAATCCTGACCAATAGGCTTGTATTTGCCGACGTATGTGAGGGTAGAGAGCACCATGGGGGCCACGGCAAGGTTGGGGGAGGACAACAGCGACGTCAGGCACTGCAGGATGTCCGAGTGCATGAAGTGTGCCGGCAGCACGAACGACAGAACCTGTACAGCAACACATTTCTTATTAACTTGTTAATAAACATGATGATAAATATGTCAGTGAACCTGTGCAGGGTTCAGGCTGTATTTGGCAGAAAGAAGAAGGTGGGGTTCTTGTAGATCACGAGTTTAGTTACAGTTTTGTCACATTAACCCTTCAATAACATGATGCATATTTAAATGCATGCTCCCATATAATTTTAAATCAACAACATTAAAACATATGAATAAAACTATTCATCAGGGTAAAAATAAGTAATTATTGTGAATATTCAACAAAATGAGCAAACATTTGAAACGTTTAGGTACTTGAAATAATCAGGATTTATTACGCGAACTTTTGAAACGTTTAGGTACTTGAAATATTTTGAAACGTTTAGGTACTTGAAATAATCAGAATTCATTACGCAGAACTTACAAAGAGAAGACGAAGGCCTTTCTCAGCAGCTATGTCGTTGGGCAGGGAGAGGAAATCAGAGATCTCAGGGTCATCCATGACGGCTTTCTTAATGATGAACGTGAGGCAGGTGAGGGCAGCGTGGTCCACCAGAACGTTTGAGATGCGCTCCAGCAACATCTTGATGGAGTTGTAGTAGAGGTTTGTCATCACAGGCTGCCCCAGCTTCTTCAGGATCTGCGTCTGCTCACAGCAATTCAGGATTATAGCGGTGCATGGCATGCTATATAGCGAGTTTAAATATCATGTTATGTAGCAAGTTTAGATATCAACATCTTGATGGAGTTGTAGTAGAGGTTTGTCATCACAGGCTGCCCCAGCTTCTTTAGGATCTGCGTCTGCTCACAGCATTTCAGGATTATATCGGTGCATGGCGTGTTATGTAGCGAGTTTAGATATGAGCTGCAAACACATTACAGACATGACTCAGAAACAGAACGAAGATTCTTTCCCAAGCACGAAATCAGATAAAGTTTTCAGGAATGTTATGTTTATATATGACGTGCCGAAATCGTGGAATTGCCGATTCTATGGAATCGGCAGCCAGTTTGTCGAATCTGTAGAATTAGCATTTCTATACTACAGGAATCTGGGGTTAGGTCAGTCAGCCAATTTCATTTTTAATATTTAAATATGAAAGAACTTGACCGAACTTTACCTAACCTTTTAACTCTAACTGTCGATTTATGTTCTAACTCTAACGCCCGACTTTCTGAATCAGCAAAGAAATGCTGATTCTACAGATGTGGCAAACTGGCTGCCGATTCTATAGAATCGGCAATTCCGCAATTTTGGCACGACATATACAAAACTTGGATATAATATTTAAGATCTCATTAGATATGAGAATTAAACTTACAGTGGCATGAATACAACGTAAGACATTGCATTTTAATTGTACCTATAGATGAAGCCCAATTCTTGCTTCATCATGATTCAGGCTCCATCAGTAATACATTTTATGATGGGACGGCACTACAGGGCCTATACTTTCAAAAAAGTTAAGAGATCGTAAGTTCTTCAGCCAATCATTGACGGCCTTTCAAGCAAAATCCACCAACCATAGACAAGAAAATAGAGCGTAAGTACTTACGTTCACTTAGCGAGTTTTGAAAGTATGGCCCCAGGTCACTATGCGCCACTATTAAGTACAACAATGATATATGCAGGAGTAATTTCAAGACACGAGAATTAACGAGGACGCAGATCAACAATACCACACACAACAGCGACGGGAGATGAGCTACATTGAGTAAAGAGTTTAGTGACAATACTGATGAGGTCTTGCATACTGACGAGCTCATGTTAGTAGCTCCTATGAGCATATGTTTAGTCTTAAAATGCCTCGTATCCTATGGAACAACTCAAATCTTGAAACGATTTTAAACCTACCATCCGTTGAAATTTTTGATATGATCAAAAGGCCAGTCTAGTCAAGAAAAATGGATAAGAATCGGCGACAGGCCTATCCAGGCCTATTCTTCAATGCCGCAGATACTATACTATGCTACTATGACTAAAATAAATGATAGTATAGCCAGTGTCGTGGGACTGGACAAGACAAGAGGGGGTTACTGACGACAGCGTCGACGCTCTCCCGGCAGGCGGCCGTGGGGCGCAGCATGGCCTCAAACAGCCCCAGCAGCTCGGCGTCCCCAGCAAGGTGCTCGTACAGCCGCCGGATGTACTCCTGCACCTGCGGGTGTGGAGGGCGGGTGGTGCAAGAGGGACGAGTGGTAATTCTCAACATTATAACAAGGCTTTATATACAAGACCTGGCCTCATTCAATTAATGTGTAACAGGAATATACAACAAAGAGAAAACTCTGCCGCAGAACATAAAAAATGCGCACAAAAAAAAAACCTTTCTTGCATACATGGAAGAAACGTTGCTAGTGGCTATGAAAAACCCAAGATTCTACCAATGATTATTTTTGATTAAAATGTATTACAGGAAATTTGAAAGCCTGTGCTGAATGAACACCCTAGCAAGTGATCTAGTCAATCATCACTAGAATGACTGGTGACGGTGAGCTGTGATGAGCGGTCTAACCTTGAGAGGGTCTGGCAGGAAGCGGGCAACCACTGACAGCTTGGCTGCCAACTCTGTCTCCTCCACGGAGTTTCTTGACAGCAACTCCAGCAAGTCTGAGACGCTCCGCCTCACCGCAACCTGCCAACCGAAATAAGATGCTGCTACAGCAAGATGTACCTAACCCTCAACTTATGCCTTATGGAACCTAGTGACAGTAGGTCATGAAATTCAAGGTTCTTTCTGTCTTTCATTAACAGGTTATAACTTGTATTAACAGGTTCCTTCTCATTAACAAAGAACAGGAACCGTTCATTCATTAAGAGGTTATAACAGTACCTGGTTCTTCTGCAGCTCTATGAAGGCCTTTGCGGCGTTCTCGTCGATGCTGGCGAACATCTGCAGGAGTTTGCACATCCGCTCCTCGGGAGGCAGCTGGTAGGGCACCAGGCAGGTGTTCACCAGCCGCTCCACCAGCAGCCTTTAAAACAACAATACCGTAACAACAAAGAAAGTTAGAAATTCAAGAGTCTTAACAACATCGGGTAGAATCATAATAATAATAATAATAGTGGTTTCAGCGTTTATTAGGCCGTAAGCCTGTTGCCGATTCTTAACATCGAAGAAAATTTACAGCTTGTTGCGGTCTCGAACTCACAACACACTGATTCAAATTCTGCTGTGCTTAACCGCCCGACCTCCTCGCCGATTCTGACCAGAAACTGGCGCACAGAGCTGGGATCGAACCCGCGCCTCTCTGCGCCAATCCTGGTACTCTGAACTTTAACCACTGGGCCACCCTACCCTGCTACCTACCTACCTCCACTCATAACCAAAATCTGTTCAATAAAAATAACTGAACACCATCAGCAGTTGGTACAATGACTAAAGCAACTCACTATCACTTTTTACACCATGTTGTGATATCGTCAATTCTTCGAGTCTGCTACACCAATTCTCCAGGCTACCTTAACACCTGGTCTATCCCAACGCCAGTGTTGCTATGACACTTGGTCTCTTGCAACACCTGGTCTATATTGTCTCACAATAATACCACTTAATTAATGGAATTGAAATTTCGATTTCAAACAGCTCCATGAAAACCCAATTCTTAACACAAAAATCATTGATTTGCATGCCCATCTGTCATCCATGCTGGTCACGCAGCTGCCAACCTGTCATCCATGCTGGTCATGCAGCACGCACCTGTCATCCATGCTGGTCACGCAGCCCACATACCTGTCATCCATGCTGGTCATGCAGCCCACACACCTGTCATCCATGCTGGTCATGCAGCACACACACCTGTCATCCATGCTGGTCATGTAGTAGCCGTGCAGGATCTTGTCTCTGATCCAGGTGACGTGGCGAGCGTCGGGTCTGACGTTGCCGTTGTTCATGTGCTTCTTGTAGATCATAGCCAGCCCACACATGGCCTCCTTGCGTATCTTGAACTGCCATTATTATGATCATACAATCAATGTAAACACTCAAAAATACACTACGTAAATGATAAACATAAATCAATTGTCAACGATGGTATGTTTCACAATGAATCAATTGCTGAGAGTATTCAAAGCTAAGCACATAAGAGAAGGCTGTGCTCATATCCTAGTGTTGAGAGATCATATGCCAATGGACATCTCTTCTTGCATATGAATTTGAGCAAATCATTAGAAGAGTGCAACTAACACAGTCGTGACCAAGCTATTGTCAATAGGTGATCTATTTTTAAATGCCGTTTGAGCCTTATTTCGTTGTGGGCACATCAATCATAGGTGAAGAATGCAAACCTTATTGTGTTAGAACGGAAGAGTCACGTCAAGCAACTTGAGAGAGTGTAACATATGGAAACTCTGTTTGTAGTACAATTCTACCGTGGTCATGTCTAATAATATCTTCAAAATGTTGTACATCTCTTAATGATAGAATGTATAACTGGAAACTACAGAGCAAACATGATATTAGATCCGTCTTGTTACTGTTGCTGTAGTCTCGAGGCTAGACAAAACACAACAACTCTCATGATGGAAACCTATCCTCTCGCCCAGGCCTACGTCGAGGTGCTCAGTCACCATATCATCCCCACACTCACCCTCTTGTCAAGGGTTCTCTCCTTCACAAAGTCCAAGAGATCCTCGCTCTCGGCCACGATTCCGAAGTCACGCTTTGCCGTCGTCACGATAGCCATGACCACCTCGTACCTGCACCACAAATGCGGTTAACACAAAAAATATCTTCACACCAAATTATCCTCTACATGAACAAAATAAGAAGCAGATAAGTAGGCCTTAATAATGCAATAAATTACGGCCGTCGTGCAAAGCACAACCATATCTCAAAGCCAAAGCTTAACCATTCAAATGAGATGACGTCTCAATGGTGGACTTCAATCAAAAAACATGAAGACTGAAAGCCGTTAAGTACGGATTAATCATAAATACTATAACAAGGGGGTACAAAGTGGTAGATGAACAAATATGCACAACTGCAGCAACATGAGATGAAGCATTTGAGTAGATACCACGTACGAGATGAATAGCAATATGAAACAAAACACAAGAAGTGAATAAATCCTAGATAACAGCAAGGATAAGCACAGACCGGACGGTCTCCTCAGCGTCATGCTGCCGCAACTTGAGCGTCTCAGTGATGTCTCCTCTGAGCAGCGGGTGGTTGATGAGGAAGTGCATGGAATACTGCACGCATTTGGTCCTGATCTTGGTGCTGATGTCGTTGAACCTGTGCAACATGGATGCCACATTAGTAACATACTCCAGTAGAGAATCTTTGAGATTTACTATAAACTTGTGCGGATGTTCAAGCTGCGGGACATTTGTCTCTATTCAATTACCCCACTTCTGACAAAGATCTAATAGTGAATAGTGAAGACATATAAGCAAAAAACGTTATCTCTCACCGCCCCAAGAATGCCAGCCAAAGCTGCTTGTGGTTGATGGCCAGCGACGAGTCCTTCTCTGAGAACATCCTGGCGAGGAGCGAGACGGAACCATAGCGTTCCTCCTCATCTGAGCTCTTCAACTTGAACTCCAACTGCAACACATAATGTTAGCATGAGTTTCTTCATTAATTTAAGTTTATCTAGCCCAATATAAAATAAAAACATGTACCTATGTACAAGACTAATTATAGACAACATAGTCAGTAATTTCGAATTATAGACAACATAGTCAGTAATTTCGAATTATAGACAACATAGTCAGTTTTTTTTTTCATCTGATCAGACGCAGTTGAATAGGTAGAATTCCGATACATATGAGAACAAAGAAAAGCAAATGAGAAGAACAAATAAATGCTGTAGTTGAATGACTGATAATAGTGAACGATCTCTATACTTCACATTACACTTAAAGAACATTTCTGAAGGTTTATATCAGAATAAACTGTGCATTAATTACTGATTTCATTAATGAGAAATTTGAACGATTTTGAAGCCAGTGCAGGAAATGCGTTGTTGCAGTGCAACATTCAGCCCCCAACAACTAGGTTATCTTGCTGGCGGTGCTCAGAGCAAGACAACTAGTGCAAAAAGTGACGTGTAACAGGCCAGAGGTGCAATAGCAAGCAGCACCCATGGACAGAGAACGGCCAGGATAAAGAACGGCCAGGAGGAGAGATGAAATGCTGCTGACAGAGAAAGTAGGATATGCCCGTAGAGATGGCAAGTAGCAGCAATGGTCTGGGGCTGGATTATCAAAGCTTCGTAACTTTTTGTACTTACGACAAAAAAGTTCTGTGGTACGTATATACACCCTAATTTTGGCATTATCAAAACTTTCGTACGCAAGTCTTAGCTAAAAGCCTAATTTTTTTCCCGCGCCAATTTTTCCTGCGCAATTGTTTTTATAATACCACCGCTAGTATTACGTTGTCATAGCAACGCCACTCGTAAGTCGATTTTGCGTACTTAATAGATGAGGTCGTAGACTTTCTGTGAGATGCTCAGGCTCTTCTCCTCGCGCCCCATGATGAGTACGTGATTGAAGAACTGCACATATGTGATTATTGTTTAGAAACCAACACACTAGCCACTATTCTCAAGAACAATCGAATCAAGAATCATAATTTTAAAACAGAAATGGGCCACCAAATAAAACCTTCATTCATTAATTTTACACAGTTTGCATGAGATTATTTACCCATTTAAAAGACACTCGTAATCATATAATAATTTCAGCATCGCCCTGAACTGATGGATACTGACATGCATTAACATCTAGATTGAGTAAAGACAATCAAACTAATTCAAACGAGAATGAATACAAGGAAAAATATGTGAACACTAGCAGGGGCAAATATTAAACTTTAATACGTAATGCGATGAATTGTAAGGACCATAAGTAACTCTAGTGAGCATAAATCCTAGCAGAGAAGGAAATATATTGTCAGAATCCCAAATAATTTAACCCAGCACTCTAACAAACTGGGACAATTATCATTCCTCGAGGCTATAAGTGTCGAGATAAGGCTCAAGGCTATAAGTGTCAAGATAAGGCTCAAGGCTACAAGTGTCGAGATAAGGCTCAAGGCTACAAGTGTCAAGATAAGGCTCAAGGCTATAAGTGTCAAGATGAGGCTCAAGGCTACAAGTGTCGAGATAAGGCTCAAGGCTATAAGTGTCAAGATAAGGCTCAAGGCTATAAGTGTCAAGATAAGGCTCAAGACTATAAGTGTCGCGCACCCCCTGAATGTAAGGCTCGAGGGTGTCGGCACATCTCCTGCGAGTCCTCCAGCTCAAAGCACATATTGAAGGACTTGACGTAAGCAAGATTCTCGAGCAGGTAGAAGTAGCGCTTGAATGCAGGGTCTTTAGGGTCCTTCAGGCCTCCAAGTTGTCGGATCAGGAACAAGAACAAGTTCTGTGCACAGAAAACCTCTGAGAACTAGTACGTAGCTACCAACAACTCTGACCTAGGCTACAATTTAGATTATTCATTACAAAGAATTCCATGAACACAAGACCAGGCAAAACCCTTATCATATTTAGAAATTATATTTTAGGGATATATATTATTATTGATCAAGTTCTATCTATAAGTTAAGATGTCAAGTGCCATTCGAATAGTTAAATACAAAGGATCAACAAAGACTGTGCAGGAATAAAAGTTTACTGCCAACCATAAAACTGACTCCTTTCATATATAAGAGTATGAATTCCATCTTGTTTGTGTGTGATTAATATTCACAGAATTTGTTTTGAATGCATATTAATTACCCTGTAGTCTTTGGGTCAAAATGACTCAAATTTCCAAAACTGTGTCGAGAGTGCATAAGATGTATATACTGGAAATGAAGATAACAGGAAAGATAAAGAAAATAAGAGAAAAAAATTACAAAATAAGAGAAAAAACATAAGCAGACCTTGACTTGCTGGGGGTCTTTGTACGGGGCATCGGGTGCATATACTCGCAGCACGTCAGCGATACAGCAAGCAATGAGCAGCTGCACGTCCCGGCTGGAGTAAGACAGGAAGAACTCGTCTGCGATGTGCATGGCCAGTGGTATGTATTCCTGCACGGACAGACAGCTGGTTATTGTGAAGATCATATCGTTATTGTTGTTGTGAACATTAGTATTGGTTATTGTGAATATCAAATATGTCTACAGTTGCCTTAATGAACACTAAACTTTCAAGGACAGACAGCTGTTATTGTGAAGATCATATCGTTATTGTTGTTGTGAATATTAGTATCAGTTATTGTGGATATCAAATATGCCTTCAGTTGCCTTAATAAACACTAAACTCTCAAGGACAGACGGCTGGTTATTGTGAAGATCATATCATTATTGTTGTTGTGAATATCAGTATTGGTTATTGTGAATATCAAATATGCCTACAGTAAGTACAGTTGCCTTAATAAACACTAAACTCTCAAGGACAGACACCTGTTATTGTGAAGATCATATCGTTATTATTGTTGTGAACATCAGTATTGGTTATTGTGAATATCAAATATGCCTACAGTAAGTACAGTTGCCTTAATAAACACTAAACTCTCAAGGACAGACACCTGTTATTGTGAAGATCATATCGTTATTATTGTTGTGAATATTAGTATCAGTTATTGTGGATATCAAATATGCCTTCAGTTGCCTTAATAAACACTAAACTCTCAAGGACAGACAGCTGGTTATTGTGAAGATCATATCGTTATTATTGTTGTGAACATCAGTATTGGTTATTGTGAATATCAAATATGTCTACAGTTGCCTTAATAAACACTAAACTCTCAAGGACAGACAGCTGTTATTGTGAAGATCATATCGTTATTGTTGTTGTGAACATCAGTATCAGTTATTGTGAATATCAAATATGCCTACAGTTGCCTTAATTCAGTTGTTGCCTTAATTCAGTTGTTGCAAAACTCTTCCTATACTTGATAATGAATGAAGTTGCATTTGAAACGTCGTAAAATTATAATGAAATGTCCCTTGAAAACCTGATATTTGGATTTTCACTTCCTATCAAGAGCCTAATTTGCTGAATAGAGAAAAACAATAAGAAAATTGTCAATAAGAAATACTCTCTGGTCTTCAATGAAACATGCATTAAAGAACAGCTTCAGCCAAACTACACAAATAGTTGCCTTAATAAACACTAAACTCTCAAGTTTCATGGTACAGTTCATCACTCAACTCATTAATATGTATAGGTATATAAAAAAGTGTGAATCAAGATACTCTTTGAAAATACACAAGTATTTTGAAATAATTTAGAGGTAATCTTCACTTGTCAACCTAATTACTAATTTTTTACATTTTATCTCATATCATAAATGTTTACAGCAGAATCCATTCTCAAGGAGAACATTCAAGAAATGGATTTTCAAGATGGATTTTTTTATACAAATTGATTTTCAAGTCATTGATCTATAAAGACATGTTATAAACAAAACAAGATCAGCAAGCACCATAACTTAACATAGTCAATAAATACCTTGTATGCCTCATCATCTTGGCCCATGGACTGAAGTGTGTGGGCAAGAGTTTTGAGACGACGGATCAGTTCATCAGGGGATAAATCTTATAAAGACATGTTATAAACAAAACAAGATCAGCAAGCACCATAACTTAACACATAGTCAGCACATGCCTTGTATGCCTCATCATCTTGGCCCATGGACTGAAGTGTGTGGGCAAGAGTTTTGAGACGACGGATCAGTTCATCCGGGGATAAATCTTCTGTGATTTCTCGGCATCCCGATGGATAGAGGATGGTCAGGTTGTCGCCTCGGCCCATGCTGTAGCAAATAAATTAATTCACTACAGTTTTTTTTACAATTTATTCACCATTACTTAAAGAATAACAACAATAAAAAATGTTAAAAGAGTTATAGATACATTCTTAAAATTTTCTTTTTTTCAGTTCTATAAGAAAGTACTATATACATACTTTAATTAATTCTGGAATTTGATTTTTCAATATTGAAATAACATAATGACAATTACTTGAGAAGCAATATATCTAACTGGCTGATGTCATTCCACTGTCATCATGATAGTGATTTTACTACTATGCTACATCAACAAATTTGAAATTAGAATAACTTATTAAATGCTGAGAAATTGATTAATAATGAAAATGCAAATACTTTAACAAAGAACCTTGCATGGAAAAGAATTTTTAATGTCTACATCTACCTACTACTCTGAGTTAATTCAAGGTAACTAGATTAAATTAAATCAAATTAAATTTTATGTTACTAATTTTTCATTTGCATGAACTAAATTTAAATTATAAAGAAAATATTTCGTGTAGTGACCACATTTAATAAATTCTTCAAGTGCAATTTGAACCTCCAATAAGCAAAATTTTAAAAAACACCTACAAATAAATATTTTTTATAATACCTTATTCTTACTTTCTTGAACAGGTTTCTTAACTTTTGTTTTTTTTTTATATTTCAATGCTTGCCCGCTGAAGGGTTAAGATCAATATATGGCAGATGCATGATTATTGGCAAAGACTTGTGCACATAATGATTGATATGGTTTATGCGCAATGATTGGCACATTTACCAGTAGTAGGTTCTATATTGGAATTCAACTACTTATAAATGTACTACTCTTGTGGCTCTAAAGTGTCAAATTTTTGCTACATTTGGAGTTTCATGGCACAATTGTGCAGTTTTATTGGCAGTTAGTTAACAGATAATTCATTTAGCAGGATATGTGCAGTTATGAAAATTGCAGGAAAGCTCTAGTCATACTTCTAAAGGTAGATATATTCCATGCAAGATTACTCTTGATACGGATAATGTCTACATGCAATCAAACAAGTGGAAGATACATGCAGTGTAGCTGGAATACATCTGACAACACAGCTACAACATCTGACAACACAGCTGCTGGTTCCAAATGGAACCACTTGGCATTAATGGGTTAACACATGCGTCACAGAAAAAAGCTTCCTTTTTTTTCTTCATTTATTTGCAAATTCCATGACTTTCCATAACCTAAAATGAAATCTCATGACTTTCCAGAAATGGAAAATGAAAAATCAAATTCTATGACTTTCCAAGTTTTCCATGACCAGTATGCACCCTGCAAAAAAGCCATGGGAACAAGTATAATTTGCCAGATTCATGTGCATTTATATGTTTGAGTAGCTTCTGCCCAATTTTTCAGTCATACAAAACTTGGGAAAGGTATGTATAGGTATAATAAGGTGGAGTAAGATATAGGTAATTGATAATCCAATGATAATTTATAAGACTTTAATATTATAGAGTTAAGCATAAATTACAGGTAAAAATAATCATTTTATAAATAACTTTGTAAAATTACAGGCAAAAATGTGTACTTTTTCTTACGTTTTACATTAGACATTAGATTATTAAGAATAGGACTAGTCAAAATGAATGGATGAAATTATCTGAGTGGGTCTTTTTGTCTTATTCATGAGTTGTTTGAAGAGTTCAATTTTCAAATCTAGATGTAACTTGAATTTTGAGCTTTTAATTTGAAACTAAAAACCGTAAAATTTGCAAATAAGCTTGTAGGTTAAAATTTCTTTCATGGATTAAGGTAGAAAATAGATTCAGAGCTGCAAAAATGAACCCAAATTTTGCAGCAACATTTTTTGATATTTTATAAATACATGGCTCTAAAAAATTGTACTGTAGAGTAAACGCGGTATATTCCAACACATTAAGGACGTAGCAAAGAAACGTCACAAACTGTTGCCATATTTATTTAAAAGCCTTTAGAATTCAAACCAACAAAATCCCTGAATTCCGACGCTGTGTGTGACTAAATTCGGCATATTGTGAGACTAATTCCGGCAGCGCTTCAAATTCTATTAAGTTGTAATTCCGGTGAAGAGGGCCGCAGAACATTAGCTGTATTGTATCATAGTGTATTGTCTTACTTCTAGGCCATGCCTCCTAATATCATCGGGTTTTCTCCCTTAGGAGTGGTTTAAATTTTATTTTGTTATCAATAATGTATGTGTTTCTTCTGTGTTTGTTTCAGACATATATCTTTGTCATTGGCTTTACCAATACACATGTCCAGTATTGCCAGTGAAAAAGAGTCTACCTTTAGCATGCACCAGCATGGTCATGCTTGAACTTATGCCTATCTGCACCTGATTGTCTATCAATGTCCGCATCCATTGCCTGAATTCCAATTTACCTTGGAGTGATTGTTAACCCAATCCTGCTTGCCAAACTGCCGGTACTCTGGTTCTTCCACATACTCCTGTTTCCTAAGCAACTTCAATGCTCCTTAAGGATGAGTTGCAGTGAACTGGTAATATGATGCATTAATTTCCTGTCCTGCCCATTGTCATGTTTTTAACTAAATTGCACCCAATTTGGCTTGTGATCTTGGTAAATCTTTGGTTGCTATTACAGTTATTGAGTGTTTCTTTGCTTGAGTGTTCACATTTTGACATTTTGCATTACAGCATTAAGTCTTGAGTTATGCTTTGTGTTCCCATTTGCTATACTGTACAGAGTAAGTGTCCTGCTTCTTGCTGAAGCTTAATACCTGCTTGCTAAATTTAATGTCATTCTTAACTTTATTCACTTGAAGTATGAGTCCTCTTTATTTGCCATAAAAGGCAATGGACTCAAGATTTGTATTTGTTAATTCGATAGGAGCAGTCGGTGTGGGACCCAGCTGGCAAGTTGTTGTGGAGACCTGGAGTCCCGACTGCAAGCTCTTGACCTTCCGCTTCTGAGTACCATCACTTCACTGATCTGAACCCCTTGAAGAGTGCAGTGCTCATGCTCATATATTGCACCAAATTGGATGTTACCCTAATTGACTACATAAGTGACCAATCTTACCAAGCCAACTCATTGGCCATTTCTATGCTCTTTCCATGGTCTCCTAGTTAGGGTAGATAATTGCATAGTGTTAGGAGCCTATGCCTCTTGTTAACTGCATTGATTGGGACCATGACTTGATTTGGTGACTGAAATAACCTGACTTCACTAGTCCAGAGCCTTACTTTGACTAGATACTACTGTCCATGTGATAAAAAATAGTTTAGTTACATTAATGTTGGGTGGTATTTAGGTGGAATTAGTTGCTAGGCTGTCCAGGTTGTGCCAGCTGTTTATTCACGCCTCATTGAACCTTGCCATTCCTGACGTTCTAGATTGAGCTATACCTGGATGGGTTCTGACTAGAAGTAGTATAAGTGTTAACTTGCTTGCTTGCATTCAAACTAAAACTATGTTCAAATACTTGCCAGCCAAGTAGTCTCCCACCATTATGACTTGAGCATTGTAGACTGAAAGATCCTATGCCCAAGTAGGATAGAAGCCAAGCATTTGTGAATGTTTAGGAACCTTAATTCATGTACCCTGTGCCATTCCCAGTATCTTTTTTTTCTTGTTCACTACAAAGCATAGTGAGTATCCTGCTGTCTCCCAGTACTCAAGGTTTCTGGTTCTCTGGGCGATGCACCATCTGGAATCTCTTGCGGTCAGTGACCTGACCTCTCGGTATCTCTGCTACTAGATCAGTGAGTACTCAGAGGTGTGTCTGGGGGTGTGTGCCTGTGTATGACTGCAAAGTTGGCCAGAAGTGATCTAACTAGCTTGTCTTCTGGCTATGCTCCAGGAGTGATCCTGGGACCTGGTAAAGTATCCTGCAGGCATACTGCTCTATTCTCCAGACACCAAGCTAATGCTCACTGTTTTGTTTAACCAGATTTTTCCCTTTGCCTGTGTCTATCAAGCTCATGTTATGCTGTTTACCGGACTATGATTATCAATCCGTGTGTAGTAGGCTAGGATGAGTTTTTCAAATTTTCCAGCGGTGTAACAGCTTCACAATGTTGTAATAGTAATCTCGAATTCATGTACCATAAATTTGTTACAAGGGTTTTCTCCCCTAGGGTGGCTTAGGTTATCTTTTGGAAAATAGGCTTTGCTGCCTGAGGATGATCCTCTACTGTCGTTGTTTGGGTTCTTGGTCTTGGGTATGTGGGTGTTTGTGTTCACCTGTTTTTCATTGTCCCAAATTCAGTCCAATCATCTTGAGTGGGATAGACTCTTGGGGTAAGGGGGCTCATATCCACATAGGTTTTGTGGAACCCGTTGATCGAACCACTACACCGGTGCCCTGTGTTGGAATTCTGACGCCTTGTGTGAGCTGTATCGGAATACAACACAGCTCGGAACAAGTTTAATTAAAAAATTTTAATTTTTTAATTAAGATTTTAATTAATAGCTATTAAGCTTTTGAGTAAGAAAATTTTAAATTTTAGACACAACTCAGAATGAGCTGTGTGTGTCTAATTCCAAGCTGTGTCAGAATTAGTTTTTATGTGTCTAAAACCGTTGCTTCACTTAATCATCTATTAATTTATTTACCACTTGAAATCAGCAAATACAAGTATACTTAAAGGATTCCTAATATATTCACAGACTTATTTAAAAGTCTCAAACCCTAATATTCTTTTCACAAACAGTTCATCACTATTTGTTAGAGCAAGTTCAACTATCAACTTTGACATGTTTTCAATGTTCTCACTGGGTGACGTATACCGTCTCTCTTTGGATCTTAACATTTTCCAGCCAGATGGCCCAGACGTAGTGTTTTGGCAATAGTATGGCGTGCAATAGTATGATGTCACTATTTCAACCATCAATGAATGTGTGGAACTAAGCCAAAGCTTAATGTAAAGGAGAAAAGTTGAGAAGTGTTGGAATTACCCACGATGTCGGAATATACCGTGTTTACCCTACTAAAACAGGAGATGATTTACACAGTCTCAGGGCTGGAAAAGTCCTTTTTATTTCTGAAATATTGTGGCTCCGATATATAATCTTAGAGTAGGTATGAAATCTTGCAGCTCTAATGTCATACATTTTTGTTTGATTGAAAAAAAATTGGGGTTTGCAGTTTGCACTTCGCAAACATGTTGTTTCATAAAATTTTTCAACTTCCACAATCCACAGTCCACACTCAGGATGATGTATGTTTTCGGTGAATTTCCCGCGCATTTTCACTTTTTTTAAGCTATTGCTGTGCACAGTTGGCGCAATGTAATGAAAATGGATTATCTTCGCGCACGTGTTCGCGCAATCCCGGCCATCTTTATTTTAGAAGAAATTTTCTCCAAAGTCATATGGCAACACTGAACACCGTCTGTTTACATTTCGTATGTATAACAGCCGCAGTTTACGAT